ACTATTAGAGCAACTCCACTCCATTTCTAGGGCAGTAAATGGAGCCCCTCAATCTCTCTCAGCTTTTACTGTCAGTCAGAGAGCACTCAGTCATCTCCGTGCATCACGCCCGCAATATTGATTTTTTTTTTTTTTTCACCCGCTGAAACAGCCGCATGAACATAAATTTTGCATGAGGCTTTTACTTGCGGCCTCCGCTTTGGTCTGACGACACATGATGGCACCGTGAGCGCGCTGTAATAACCCGGTCCGGCTTCGGGAAGGACAAAAGAGCTGGATCCCCCGCTGGGCCCCACGGTGGTAGTAACTGTCCACGTGTGTGAGATGAGAGTGAGACTCCATCGCGTCCAAAAGCAGCGGGAAGCTCTCATTGTGAACAAGAGATAGCGTTTTTTGGTCTTCAATTCCATTCAAGAAGAAGTTGGATAAGACGGTATATATGTAGTTAGATGCGTCCCCCTTTTAGATTCATTCTTACAACGGAGCCATTGAAACTTTCAGAAGATTAAATTCAAAAAAAGATCCATTTTTTCCTCCAGGTCCATCCTAAGTGCTCCGTCAAAAAAAATCACACTTAACGTTTTAGAACGAGCAGACATGCCATGGAGGATGTTTTTTGTTCAAATAGTCCAAATACTCTTCAGTTGGGAAGAGCCCGCCCTCATTTTGGCCTCATTAGCACACAGTTTGATTGCACATCTATATTGAAAGGCGGAAAAGGCTTCGAGACCATTCTGTCCCAGGGAAGAAATCGTGACATCAAACTACACCCCTGGAACTCTGTGAAGGCCCTCAGAGGTCCCTGGGCCACACTTTGGAAATCAATAACCTTGCGTAAGCAACACAGCAAAGGGCGACATTATCAAGCACACAGGGATGTTCTTGAATGTGTAACATCTCCATGGAGAAGATTTGATTCTTTGAAGCGCTTCCCCCAGAGTGAGAATTCTAAAACACAGCTTGATATTGCCTCGCATCACAAAGTGAAAGCATTATCTCCGGATCCCTACGAGCGATGTGGTTTGCGCTCTAAAATCCTGTGGCTCTGCGACTCCACTCAAATCTTAATTGCCTATTTTTATATATATTTTTGTTTTCCGAGTTCCCCTGCAGCACAACCGTAACAGTGATATTGCCGAGTATTGTTTTTATTCAGTAGTTCAGTAGTTCCTGTTAAAGTTTCCTTCTCTCCATGTTTATTCCAGCCGAGGCCGGAATCTATTTTCTGTTTCTTTATTACCAATTGTTTGGATGTAACACAAATGTGTGCTCTGTTTTTACCTCACAATAATATAACATTTACAGTGAACTATAGAAAGAGAAACTGTGATGCATCCGCTCCACCAGCGAAGCGAGTGCAGCGGTCTAATCCGCAGAGTAAGAAATGACCTTCCCGTGACCACATTTGTAATTACCACATCTCATAGAGGCTAAATCTCCTTACCTCCAGTGGAGTAATTATCAGTGTGACTCTCTGAAAAGGCAATTGAGACGGCGGTTTATGGACTCCCATCGCGGGACGTGAGGCAGAGCAGTAATGGGGAGCTTGTTTGTCCCCTCTTACCTTTCTCGTTAGGGAGTGACAGCTGTGTTTAGACTTCCCAAAAATACAGGGGGGAGGGTCACATTGGACGATTTCATTAACTTTTGACAGGCTCCTCCTGTGATTAGCTCTTAATATACAGAACAACTACATGATGCCAATGACATAGAAACGCTACAACGGCAGGTGGACGCACGCATTCCTGGGGGCAATTATATCCTTAGGAAAGGCGTTCAGTGCGAACACACACACACACACACACACACGCTGATCCAACATAAAGAGCTCAAAACAATCTTACAAGGTTTGTACAGGAAAGTCCGGCGACGTGAGTTATTCTCTTCTTCTGCCTTTGTCCGACCGCACTTTATTCCGCGTGAGGCCTTTTGTGTAGATCTGTCGGCCTTGACTGGGCCTTTTCTACGGGCCATAATATGACGGCCACCTATAAGCTTTCTTGCAAGACTAAATGCATCAATTACAGTTGCTGCTGTTATCACACACGCTCGGCCTTTGTGGGAGGTTTTCAGCATTAATGTTCTGCACGTTCCTCAATATTGGTTGAGTAGTTGTCAAGGTGTCGGATACGTAGAAAGTCTGGATCCTGCACACACAAACGATGTGTAATATAACTCGCAGGGAACGGTTGTAAATCAAGGTGTTGTGCATTGAGAGGAAAACAAGGAGTCGAATCAGCCCCAGAGAGAAAAGTGCCGTAATAGGGGGGTTGGCAGGGGCTGCTGGGATAGCGCTGGTAATGAGAGAGCGGGCTGCCTCCCCCCCACCTTCACTCCTCGACCGCACGGGAAACAAAAATAGCATTTTGTCTGAGGAATGAGCCGACTTTGACCCAGCCTTTCGACCTCTGACAATCAGTCTCGCTTCGTCCTCCAGTGCCTCAGAAGCCGGGACCAGGACAGTCAAAGATAACAGTTGATTTCTACTGGGGCACTAAAGCAAAAGGGAGGGGAGATTGGGGGGAGAGAAAAGGAAAGAGACGGCAGGCGGTTTCTCAAACCACTGAGGTTGGAGGGCGGAGACTCCTCAGTCCCAAGTGATTGTAGTTAAATGGAGCAAAAAAGGCCACAGTTCGGCGCGTATCTGATCATTTAGCTGCGTGACTCTCTTTTTATCATCTGACTCATTCCTCATTATAAACATTAAATATTGTGACAACAGCAAAAGTGGGGACCCCCCCACCCCGCCCCCCCCCACACACACACACCCCTACCCCCCCTCGGGCGTGATGATCAAGTGGGAGCGCCGCTCGCATGGCGGTCGGGAGAACCAGTGAATATGAAACGCATCAAAGAGACAGCGGGAGATATAATGAGCAGTACAGGATCCCGGCACCCTTTTCCCCCTCCCTCCATCATAAGCGGAGCTCCCACTCTCGTCCTCGGCCGGGTGTCTGCTGGAGGAAGGAAACAGGAACAATTAGCTGAGACACGCCGCCTGGATTATGCGCTCAACCCCCGGCAATCAGACGGCTGTGGTTTAAGAGAATGAGCTTAAAAAGGGCTTGATGTCCAGTTAGAGGGGCGGGTCAGTGGTCCTGACAATCTTAACGAGATGACAGAATGTATAAAGCACGGCTGTTAAAGAATACGGTACCTGCGGTGTAGCCCTTATAATAAGGCCACATGGGGCTCCTTCCTTATTCCCTCCGTATTTGTTTTTCTTTTGCCTGGTATTTTTTCGTTGTACCTCTTGTTCCTCGGCGCCGCGGGAAATTCTCCAGTCGTCTTTTGATCTTCGCCTGGTCTCGATAATTTCTTGACAGAAATCTCATTTTGCCCGTTCTTCGTTTTTTTTTTTTTTTCTCTTCGTCTCAACATCTTGTCGTGGCGGAGTTGCAAAGGGAAAGAGCCGGTCCTGTCAGGCTACTTGCCCCAACATTTCAAGTGAGAATCGGACTCTGATGATTTATAATTCATGATGACGGTGGGGGGAAGGGGGGTGTCAAGAGGTAGAAAAAATATATAAAAGTACAGTGTTTACTGGCCGAGAGACGCCAGGTTCCTGCAGAGGGAGATCTGATGTTCATCAAATGTTCATGTGTGCCTGTCCTGGCGTCGCCGTGACCCCACTAATCAAAGACGTGTCCGTCCTGATGTTTTATTCATCTATCACAAGGCGTCCATACGTAAATTATTTAAGTGCATCGATTGAGTATGTACACAAACTGGCCCGTGTTCACGATTGCTCGGCTGCATCCTCAACAGATGTTCACAAACGCTCCATTTTCTTTCATTTGTGTATCGAGACCTTTTATTGGTACGTCGTGTGCTTTCTCACAACGCTTTATGCCAAGTTGTAGTGAAGATAATGCATAATAATCATTGATTCTCTAAAGTATGTATAGCCTGGGTACTATGCTTTGCCCAGGACATCTTTATTCTGGTCTCGGTTTAAACTAAATCTGTTGAGCTGCATAACAGTTTGTTTCTGTGGTGCTGTCAGATATCAGCACAGAGATCAGACTCTGTCCTCTGTCCTCCTTTGGTTTTAAATACAAAGCTGTAACATCAACTATGTGTAGGAACAATATATTCTAAAGTCAATGGTATTTGTTTATAACTTTTCAATTCTTGTCGTCACTGTATACATACATTTATTATATGGAATAGTTTCTTTTGAGGATTTATTGGGACTGAAAAATGGCCGTGAAGATCTTTCTGAATGAGGTGTAAAAACACTTTTCTATCCATCATATCTGTGTGAAATTCCATTTCTCTTTTTTTCTTTTTTAAAGAGCTGTGAAGGTCAGCTAAGTGTTGTTCTCAGCCCGATTCTCAACGTACAGTTGATACCTTTAGTAGACATTACTTGTTGTCTCTCTCGTATTTGAGCTGGACCTTCTCGGCCCCTGGGAGGGTTTGCATGCCGACAGTCTCAGCCTGAGCAAGTGTTTTTTTAACAGCATAAAAATCTAGAAGCATTTAAATGTAGAAAGTTTTAATGGCGCTCCATTATTGGATCCAATTAGTTAATGGGTTTATTTCTGAAGTCCTCCCGTGAAGATGGATGTCTCTTTCTTATGAGATTTTAAGCCGTTAAACCAAAGATTCGGACATTCTCCAAGTGACAATGAAGACTCTTGGCTCTGAGGAGAGCAATTATATCAGTCAGTCTCGATAGCTTTGTCCTCCAACTAGCTAAATTAAATTCCCAGACTCTGTCACGCAGCCGGAAAAACCCTGGAGGACCTTGTTGTGACTCTGCGCAATTTGCATTTGTCTCTCACTGTTCATGCTAGACATCCCACACCTCCATGTGTGCGGCGTTTCCATCTGAGGTGTGAGCATATTCTTCAAATAATGAGGGCCTTGATGTTTTTGTGCTAAAGCCTGTGTTGTCAGACTCAATATGAACTGCGTTTGTTTGTCTCTAAATGGAGAGTTCAGGTCTCCAGCACCAAGACAAATCCAACATCTCGCTGATCTTCCATCAACAGCTACCTCATCACTGAGCTCCCAGCTCCAACACCTGCAGCAGCTCCAACAGATGCAGCAGCACCACCACCAGCAGCAGCAGCAGCAGCAACACCATCACCAACAGACCCTCGCCCACACCCAGAACCATCACATGACCCCGCCCAGCCAGCAGCAGACCTCTGTCCCGTCTCCGGGCTCCACCTGCTCCTCCACCTCCGGACAGCCGCAGCACTCCCCGCCGCACCGGCCCAACCAGTCGCCGGCTCGCAGCCTTCCTTCGCCCGTCACCCCACCCATGCCTTTGCCGGTGAGTCCACGATCTGCCCCGATGCAACTCGCTCTGACCCGCTGACGCGTAGTAAAATGGCCGTAAGCCAAACTGGAACCGCCTTTCTTTTGTCAAACTTCATTCATTTTGTTTTAATGTCTTAGTCTTTAGTTGATTATAATTCTTTTTATCACATGATGTGGTAGCTGCATTTCACCGCTTAGTTATTATATTAATACATATATTTTCTGAGTTTTACAAATGTTAGAGAAGATTTAGAAAGATGTGTCTAATTTCTGACTAATATCTGATTTTTTATCTGATTTTTTATTGACCGGTTTGTAGGATCAGTGCTTTTCTAAAATCCACTCTCGCCAATATGAGTACGCTGATATAAGGCTCCCAGTAATAACGCATATCAGGGGCACAATGAATAAATTAGATCTCAAGGAGCATAAGTAATTAGTCACTACTCATTCAATTCATAATCACTAATTCTCCAATTAAAGAGCTTATAACCAGCATACATGATGCATGATTTTCTGTCAGCACTTGATCTTTATCAAGTGGCAGCTCCTCCGTGTATGCGGCGCTATGAGAGTATGCATCTTGTCGCCAAAACTTTGACGCATCCAGACAAGCAGCCCGACCCAGATCCTCCTACGGCGGAACCCGGAGGGATTCTGGGTTTTTTCCGACCGCGGACTTTCCGGCTGTAATCAGTCCGTTAATCTTCGCTGCTCTTCCTACTCATCCTCCTTTTTAGTCACTTTGTCCGTCCATCCATCTCTGCCCTCCTGTCCGTTTGGCTGTCACCGTGTGACGATAATAACCTATTTCATATCCCCGCGGTTTCATTTCTGGTGGAGACTGGCCCGGGTCGCCTTTCTGTCCCTGGTCACATTCATCAGCGTCAGAGCCTTATTGGGTTGTGGTGCAACCTTCTTTATGGCCGGGATGAGTTGGGCTATTTGTTTCTCCCCTGCAGCCCTCTCTGGCCCTGTCACGGCCTAGTGAGACTCAGCAGGAAAAACAGCCTCCGGATTTAATGGGCTCCAAAGGCTGCCCGCTACATTGCACCAAACACACTGTCCAGCCCGACTGTGAACACGAGGGCCGCTGACCAACATGCGGACTCACACATTTAAGTTTGTGTGAACAAAGACTTTTTTTCAGACCGTCCCTTGATTCACGGGGGAAAACACTATTTTGTCAAATTTCCTGGAATCGGTGCTCTCTGACTCACAAAGGCAGCGGCTTAACTTCAGAACAAGCTCCCTGCATTGATTAGACCGAGACCGCTTAGCCTCACACAGATTGTCTTCTTCTGGAAGAAGCAGCGAGGATGATTATGATGACTGAGGACAGACCTCCCTTGAGGAGGGGGCAAGGGGGCCACATCAGGTATCATTAAGATATTGCCTCATCAAATAGGATTATGAAGTGTGTGTGTGTGTGTGTGTGTGTGTGTGTGTGTGTGTGTGTGTGTGTGGGTGCGAGAGGCAGAAAGGCCGTAAAAGGTTTAGTTTCTCTGGGTCAGTGCTGGTGTTGTCAGAGAGCGTCTCGCCCGGCGGGGGCCTCGCCCAAGGACAGGTCGCAGCCTCAGCACCCGCTCACAGGGGCAATAGGATTTAAGCAGATGCTCCTCCTCCCTCCACTGCTGGGTTACTGATGGGATTCTCCGTGGTTAATTCACAAAAGTATTTTTTAATTTGTGGAGACTCCCTGAGCACAGACCTTCTCACAAACACACGTGGACTTTTTTTTATTTTTTATTGTTATCCTCCTTTTGTTTGTTTTAATTGAACACACAGAAGGGCCTTTCTGGTGTTTCCGTGCTCGGCCCAGAGGAGCTGGTCTGTGCGGTAAAGTCAAGTCCTAATTACCATAATACAACCAGCATTACACAGATAACACCCCTATTGCCCCCCCACCCCATCATAATTCAGACGTGCAGAATTACTCAGCCATTCAACTATTTGCTGGAAATACAACACAGAGCTGCAGAGAGACAAACACTCCAATGTTCCAATTAATGTCCCATTGTCATTCCCGTCTCATGGGAGGTTGCGATCTTCTCTGTAAACCCATAGCGGGGAATTCCTGAGCATTCGATACGTCCCTGGAGATATTAGTGTGTGGTGTTTTTAATTTGTCAAACTGAATTAATGAATTGGCTCATTAATATCCCGATTAGAATGCGACATCACACCACAACAGACTGCGTCCCTTTGAGGGAGGGGTCTGAAGTCCGATTACTGCAGCTAATTTGGTTAAACAGTGTCTGGATTTGCCCCCCCCCCTCCCCTAACCTCAAAACTATGTGTTTCCCAAAAAGAAAGAGACATTGTGCCTGGTGTGGTCGGAAATATCCACACCAGGGATGAATAATCCGGGCGGGGGGGAATTATTAAATTTGCTTAAGTGTGTTAATGGGCTGATTGCGGGAGCCCGCTGGATTCTGCTGAAAGTTGATTGATTAGAGCTGCGGGTTTTCTCCACGCCCCGAGAGCTCGGGGATTTGACGGGGTGAAGGCGCTCGCCAAGTCTGTTACACCGGAATTGATCTTAATTAGATCTGAAAGACCTGCCACAGCAGAATGGTCGCGGCGATTAAAATGAAAAACAGGAGAAATTACTGATCAAATTAATCATAATGTCGGGCTACAGCTGTAGGTCTGGTGTAATTTGCCACTCCAGTGAGTTACATCAGCCCAGGCCGGGAGAGGAGCGGTAGTACATACTGATCCGTGGCAGCGGGAAGCTTAGGCCAGCCTATCAACTCTCTTATTCCACTTCCAATGCCCTGGACCCTCCTGACCCTGCTGCGCCATCCAGTGGAGCCCCAACATCTGTCTCTCCCTCTCTTTTTCTGACTCTGACCTAATTATTTTCCCGTTCTTTTTTTTTTTTTTTGTGCCACATCCTTCTACATGATGTCTTCTTGTCACCTTCATGTTGTGTGTTTGTAGCTTGTCGCCTCTGACCTTGGTTCCAGTGTCTGGCTGCCTGGTTTTTCGGGTGGCTGATGGGAGGGGGGGGGGGGGGGGGGGGGTGGCTTTCCCCCCTGAGTGTGTGCGGGGCTGTGTCCACTACCCTTCGCAGGCGTCTCTTTGAACGGTGGAAGAGCCCCCACACTGGGCCCAGTCCACTCTCCGTCTGCACACTAATAGGGGTAATTACAGCCCCGGGGGCCTGCCTACTACCCCTGTGCTCCACAATTTACCACCAAAGCGTCCACAGACATCTCTCTCCTTCCCCCGCTGCACCCCGGCATCACAGGACCGCGGGGCCTCAGACCCACAAGTGCTGCAATTACCTGAGCCTCTCCTCTATCCTTTTCGCTCTCCCTTGCTCACTCTCTTGCCCCCCCCCCTCCACACACACCCTTTTCTACCCCTTGGCTCCCTCACTATTCCCTGGCAATCAGCCTTCATTAGAAGCCTCTGGTGAAAACCCATCGTCACCAAGGTCGGCGGCTGCCAGCCACAACGGCCTTTCAGAGGCCCGGCTGTCTGCACTCTCCCCCTCTCCTCACCTCCTTGCGATTCTGCCCTCTTCTCCACCCGTACACTCCCCCCGTCCTACTCAAGTCTTGGGCCCATCTCTGCAGCTTTTGTGCCCCTTCAGACACACACGTGTCTTCTTTTTTTTTTTCACTGCAGTGCACTCTTACTTATGTCAACCGCTGTTAAAGTCACCACCATCCAATTTGCTCCAAATGTGTCTTTTTTTTATGGCCGCTGGGCGTCTCACCCATTATATTAACTTGTGTATTAAATGAGCCTTGCCCATCGATTAATTGATTTTCCACATTAGCTCCACGTCTATTCAATTTAGCCAAACGGGCTGCGGTCGCTCCGTGGGGTATTAAATCAAAATTAAAATGACATGCTCAAATGTAGACCCAATGGCTCATACAGTGGCTTGTCGATTAAACTGGCAACGCTTAAGTTGAGGATAGAGTCCATTATCTATCAAATGCCTCATAACTCAACTGTGGTGTCTGTGGTTTAGGAGCAGATCAGTTTATTAGTTTATGCTCCGCTTTCTTTTTTTGGCCTATAATTATCTTGATATCTTCTTTGTAGAAGGAATTCACATTTAGTGAATGTATTTAGTAATTTTTCAAGCCTGAAACAAAGCATTGCGACCATCAGTTGTCAAAAAACATAATTTTTCAGTTGAGTAAATACAAAAAAAAGATGATCTCAAAATTTCCTAAAAATCTGCCTCCGGTTCTGGTAAAGTCGTGTTCTTACATTTAACATTTAAGTGAAAGCTGAAAGGCGTCTCACATCTGTCCATTATCTATGAAAAAACACCTGTTTTAAAATCAAAACTTTCTCATAAAAGCGTTAAGTGTGTATAAATGTTATGTGGTGCCAGTCGGCGTGCTGCCGTGTGGTTTGGAGCATGAACGGGCCCTCAGCTCTCCATCAGCCGAGCCTCTTATTAATGCACAGGAGATCTGGCTCTTAAGAAGGCAGAAAATTGCCTTACGTAACAAGCGCTCCACAATTTAGTAATACAAATGTGCACTGTTGACTGAAGCAGAAAATAAGAATGTTGCCCATCAACAGAACCACATTTCATATGAATAATTATAAAGCATGGGAGCTAGATGAGGAAAACAACCTGACCATGACAGCTCTACTACTTTTATTTACTTCAAATGAGGGATTAGGCAGGAAGAAAATTTACAGACTTAAGGACCAGCGATGAGCCCTGAATTTATAAATAGGGAGAAAGTCAAAGCTATCATATTTCAGACGGATCATTGCTCAACTTTTATAAATAAACGTTGCACTTGCTTTTTGGCTTTTCTGGTTTTGTTGGGATTTTTTTTCTCACTTTTAACTTTTTGAGGTCTGCGATTCTTCTAAACACGGCCCCCGATACGCTCGTGGTGGTCAGAGGGCTCCCATCTCCCGACAGAAAGACACCTCTCCCGCGCATTGGGGGCAACACGTATTAGACGCCCACAGGGGAGCCCTCGCATAGAGCGCCAGGCAAGGGCTCACCTAACGCAGGATAAG